TCACTCTTGGGCGAATCGCTCATCTGAGGAGGATGACAATGTCTCGGTTCACGAGGCATTGTCCAGCGAGGAAGAGGATTTGGCTCTTGAGGACGCGCCTGGCCAAATAGGGGGATCTCCTGCTCCTGCGGAAGCGTCGGCTGGGGGTCGTTCATCGGCGCGAGAGTCTCCGCTTCAACGGGAGGCTCCTACTCTGCAGGTGACCATTTCTTCGTTGGCGGCGGCCGTTGACGTTGTGACCACTGCACCGAGGGCGTCATCGGTCGCACCGGCTCCGGTGGGGCCCGTTACCACCCCTACGGTTCACTTCTACGGTTATGGCTATAGGCACCTCGACCGTGATTTCGTCTACGGCGGAGGAGGTCGCCCTCTCTCCCTTGGAACGCTGGCGAAAAACGCAGGTAGAGCGAGCTCTGGCGAATTTCGAAGATACTTTGGCCCACTGCACCCGACTGGTCTTGGAGGAGAATTGCCCCTTCGAAGAATTCAAGGAAGTTCTTGAACACGATGCGTCCTTCTTGCGTAAGAGGCTCGGTGCTACCGCGGCGAGGCCCTATTTTCAGCGTCTGAACGAAGTGGAGGGGGCTGTTCGGCAGCTGCTCGCTCTTCGTGCGGAGAGTTCCACTCTTGTTGATCTCGCCTCCCGCGAAGTTCGAGTAGCTATGGTAGATCGTGATCGCCGCCTGAACGAGAACATGACGCTAGAGTTGAAGTTGTCAGCAGAGTCGGAGCAGGTCAAAGCCGAGGATGCACGGGTGGCCCGCGATGAAGAAACGGTCGATAGCCAGTTCTCCCGACTCTCCTTCGAAGTAGAGAGGCTGAAACAGGTTGTAGCCGAAGCACAGGCTGCCCTGGCCGTTCAAGAGAAGGCTCGTGATCATGTGGCAAAAGAGTTGGAGGGCGTTAAGTCTCGCCGGCGATTGACCACTGGCTCTGTTGCGGAGAAGGATCGAGCTTTCAAGGATGTCAGAGAGGCTATTCAGGATTTGATTTCATGCACAGAGGAAGATATTCGTCGAGAGGTCCTAAGGAGGCTTGAGCTCCGCCATGCTGAAGAAATTCGTGAGGCGGAACTGAGATTGAAATCCCTGTAATTCGCCTTTAACTTTCCGCTTGTAATGGGACTTCTTTTTTTTCTTCATGAATGAAATTACCCCTTTTGTTTTTGGCCTATTGTCATTTGTGGATGTGCTCCATTTTTGCAATCATGCATTAGTCCGAATTCAACCGTAAGAGAACCTCAACTGTAGAGGAATTCTTGCCGGTGAGTTTCTGCTGCAAGTTTACTTCCTCTGCAGGCGAATTTTGTTCGCAGGCGGATTTGCAGGAGTTAACGGCGAACCTGGCTCTGATCGGGTTCCGCTTTTTGGTGGGCCATGTGTTAATCCACGTGTACGCCGGTTAAGGAGACGTGGGCTAGCCGTTTCGCATTAAATGCGAGTTAGTGGGCCTCTTCGTCTCTCGCGCCCGATTCGGGCCGTTGTTGCAGATCGTGGTCGTGAACCGTCAGATCTTGTTCGTCCTTACCCTTCAACTGTTTTAGCCCCGAACGGTCTAATCGAATATTGAGTAACCGTCTAGGACTCGTAGGGTATTTAACGCCCCTACTCTCTATTAAGAGGATCTACAGCCTCTTCATCATCTTCCCAAATTTTCCCTTTTCTCCTTCTCCTGATGGCACCGAAGGTGAAGAGGGTCGTTTCCAAGAAAAGGAAGGAGCCGTCTTCTTCAGGCGCTGCTGAGGCCGCCGCGGCTGAAGGTATCTTCCTGCTTCGACTTTCGCGTGATCTTGGTAGGTATTCTTCCTCTGATTCTTCCCCGTATTGTTGTCGTGTTTTACAGGTCAAACGGGGGCGTCGGCTGCCGAGGAGCATGCGGCCGAGCCTATCCTGATCTCGGACGATGAATCTGAGGGTCCTGCGACTTCCGCTGCTTCAGATCCTGCTCCCCAACCGGGAGCCGAACCTTGCCTCGAAATTCCGCCCATCACGGCGCTCGCTCCAGGCCAAAAGCCTGTTCCCTCCGAGTCCTTGTCCTGGAAGGCTCGCATCGAAGAGTTCGAGAGCGCTGTGAGCCAGGTGATTTCCCTTGTCGAACTCGGCATGGGCAGTTTCGCCAGCTTCAGGCAGTCCCTCTATGATCGCGTGGCCGATTTACGGCGATCGGGTGAAAATCAGCTTGCTACCCGTTGCGTGCGTGAACTCCGTCTCTTGGAGCCACACATGGTAGAGTTAGAGACCTTGCTACGGGAAGGTCCGGAAGCCAACATGGAGTCTTGCCTGGCTCATGTTAGGCATCAGGAAGCCCTGGAGCAGGAGACCCGTTCCAAAGAAATAGCGGATTTGGAGTCTGTCGCCAACTTTTGGGTGGGTCAACAACATTTGCTAGAGGAGCAAATCATTGACCTCAATCGCACTATGGCTCGCCTGAGGGCCGAATTGGGACAGGCGGAGGCGAAGTGGAAGGGGCTCCAGTCCGACGTTATAAGAGGCGGAAACTCGACGCCTGCAAGCCTTGCGCCAGACGGATGCTGCCGCCAGGTCGAGCCGCGAAGACCGGATTCGGAAGACTGACGAAGGTAAAGCTCGAGAAGACCACGCGAGCCGGGTGGAGGCAGTCAAAGAACAGATCTCCACTTTTAGCGTATTCGACTGAGACCTTTGTTTTATGATTTGTGTTAAGACATTTTGCTTATGACTTGTTTGTTTATGAAGTCATAAATTTGTTCAAATGTATTGTCTTAAAACACTGGGTGCATGTTTTGTTTCTTTGAACGTAACATTATGACTTTCGTAATTGCAAAAACCATAACTTTGTTCAAATGTACTGTCTTAAAGTCTCAATGAGGTTTGTGCCCGCTCGTTGTGCGTATACCCTTTGGATACGTCGCTTTCCAGTATTTTACTCTGTTATCGCAGACGATCCCGTATCGCGGGCGAAGTCCTTTGTGCGACGACGAGTCTACTTTCGAAGCCAAACTCTGCTCCGATGAGTTTATGCAATCGACGAAATCAAGGCGACGGCGAGTTCGCTAAAATGGTGAAACTCGGTTCCTGACGAATTCGAATTGCTGGTGAAACTCAATTGATTGACGAACTTGTTTCCAGGCGAGACTTGATCGTGGCGAGGTTCGCTTGGAAGCTAATCTTAACTGTTGGCGATTTCAAGTAGATGACAAAGCTCATCTGCTGGCGAGTTTCGCTTGGCAACGGAACTCAATGGCTGGCGAGTTTATGCTGCGGGCGAAACCCGTATGCCTGGCGAGTTTGAACTGTAGGCGAAACTTGAGCAGTCAGCGAGTTTGTCCAACAGTCGGAGATCCAACCGCGGGTGAAAATCACGCCACGTGTCGGTCGGCGGGCCCAAGTGCTTGCCAGCCAAGACTCTGCAGGCGCATTAATGCTTATTTATGGTGAAGCGACCGGTCGCTTCGCCTCTCGTGCCCAATCCGATCTGTCGGTTTGGGGTCTCGAGAGTAGCCTTTAATGGCGTCGAGTTCGAAGCGTCGCAGGGCGTTCGGACCGCTCGATCGCTTGGGGTGATGAATCCCAGCCGTTGAATTTCTCGGCATATATATCCGCACGCGCCCCTCCTTAGCAGAGTTCTTCCTGCTTCGAGAAAAAATCTGCTAAGAAAACCGCTGCAGCGACTTCTTCTGTTCCATGGCCTCTGCTTCCGATCACAGTGACTCGGAGGGTGTCGGCTCTTCCGCCACCGTCGTCGACGTTGGCGCTCCGGCTGCCGTCCCTGCGATTCCGGACCCCGTGGCTCACCCCGCTTTCGTGCCCCTCCAGGAGTTGGTGGGTTTGGTGCACGGGATCGCCATCTCGGTCAGTGTTGGCGACGAGCGATACTACGACGCGCTTCCTGCTGTGGAAGCGGGCTTGGAGGCGGTTTGCCGTGCAGGTGATGCCTCGCTCACACGGCGATGTGAGCGGGAGCTTGAGCGCGTGGAGGGGTGGATGTACCGCCTCGAGGAACTGGCCCACGAGGACTCCTCCGACATGCCCCCACCCCCTTCTCTGTGTTATCTGCTAGAGCGCGAAGAGCGAGCGAAGCAGATCCAGGCGAAGGAGGCCGAGCTCCGACGTCTGCGGAAGCGGCACCGGGCTGTCTTGGACCGGATGGACGCCTATCTGGACAAAGCGTTCTTTGAGGACGCTGGTTCTCTTCGTGGCGAGGCGAAGCTGCTGGAGCGCGAGCACGAGGCTAGGAGACTCGGCGAGGTTGCCAGGGAGGTGGAGAAGGCACTTCAGCTTCTTCACCAGGAGGAGGAGTCCAGTAAGGCGGATTTGGCCAAACGGCAACAGAGGGGGAAGGAGGAGGCGAGGAACCAACGTGCGGCGGAGCGCGCGAAGATCAAAGCTAAGATCGGCTCATTCAGCCTGCTGAAATTTTTGTAATGCCTTGTTCGAGTCTTTCCTTCTGTCCTCTTGAAACCCCCCTTTTTTTTTGTAATTTTGTAATTTGATGCCGGTTGTACGGCAACCTTGAACTCTGTATGCGCAACTTTGGCCTGTAATGGCTTCATGTTTTGATCATTTTCCGCCTTGCATGTACTATTTCATTTTTTTTTTGCAGTGGATGCTTTTGGCTTCTGTATTGAACTTGATGAGCCTCTGACTATCCCGTTTAGGACTCAGTCACTTTAGGCTCTTGTTTTACCTTCTGCTGCTCATAGCGCGGGATCGGATTAACTCCGATCTTCGCGTTGTAGCTTCAATGGGATCGAGAGAGTAATCCTTGGCTTGCAGCAAAGGACAAATGTTTGCCTTTGCGGCCAACTGAAGAACTCGACTTCGACTCGCCTTTCGGCGAATTGTTGTCTGGGGAACCGACAGACAGGTTGTCTGTCGAACCGCCTTCGACAACTGTCGTTAAATGTGACAATTGATTGTGGTAGGAGTCATCGCCTGGTAGACTCTACCCATCAGTTATCCTAAAGCAATGTTGGGACATCTGGCATAGGTCAAATAGTTCAGGGACGTAGGAGTGTGACTATTGACAGAAGTAATAGCACGTCGCATGGTTGGCCATTACTTAGGCTGTGCTATTCATAAGGATAACGGCGCCAATCATCAGAGGTGATCATTAACTTGATGAGGTGTTGTCGTGATTGGAGCAACTATGGGGACCTACCATTCTTCGGAAGAGGATTGGTAAGTAGATTGTGTCAGAGGTTTAATGTTAACGTGACAGGGGATGTCGTGATTAGAACGACTTTGAGGACCCACCATCCTTTGAAAGAGGATTAGTGAGTGGATTTTGTCAGAGGTTTAATGTTAACTTGACAGTGAATGTTGTGATTGGAACGACTTTGGTGGATTCGCCATCTCATTGGAGAAGATATGCGAATTAAATGTGTTTGTCGTGATATGAACGACTTTTGTGGATCCGCCATCTCATTGGAGAAGATAGGCGAATTGAATGTGTTTGTCGTGATATGAACGACTTTGGTGGATTCGCCATCTCATTGGAGAAGATAGGCGAATTAAATGTGTTTGTCGTGATATGAACGACTTTGGTGGATCCGCCATCTCATTGGAGAAGATAGGCGGATTAAGTTCCGCAAGAGGCTTTCGCCAGAGCGGGTAAAGTAGGAACAGTTTAGCCTCGTGTACCAGTTGGAGGGTGTGAGGGCCAGTTTAGACTCGTGCACTCGTGGGAGTTGGTGAAGGAGAACTAGGGGTAGTACTTCTTCAGATACTTTCCGTTGATGGGCATCATGATCTTATCGCCATTCGGTTTGACGAGGCGATAGGCGCCGTTCGAGTAGACTGTCTCTATCACGAACGGTCCTTCCCATTTGGACTGGAATTTCCCCTTCTTCTTGGAAGTGAGGATCATTGGTCGACGGACGGAGAGCACGAGCTCTCCCTCTTTGAAGGCTCGACGCTTAACTTTCTTATCAAAGTTCTTGGCCATTTGAGCTTGATAGAACTCAATGTGCTGCTGGGCTTCTAGCCGTTTGTCGTCCAGCGCCTCGAGCTCTGCGAGTCGTAGTTGGTGATTTTCCTCAGTCGTCATCCCTGTTGCTAAGGCGACGCGGAGGGATGGAATCTGAATCTCTAATGGCAATACAGCTTCACAGCCG